TTAATATTCTGTCCTAGAATATGGTTTGTTGTTCCCTTTTTTTTTTTTTTTTTTGAGCACCTGCCCCTTCAGTGGTCTCTGCACGGCCCTGCTCAAATGTGGGTCAAACGTTTGTGTTCACCTTTACTCAAAAAAACAACACATTTGAAAGCCATGAATCATTTTCTATCGTCTTCAAAATTGAATGCTGAATTACTTTGTGCTGACCTACTGATAAAATGTGAAAAATATTCAATGAGTGTGAATATGCCTATGAGAAATCACCAATGTCTGTTTGATTAAAGCTTCCTGGACAGAAGCTGTCCTGGTCTTTTTACCCTTTAACAATTATTATCAATATATAAAAGGTGGGAGGGGGAGGCGTTCTTTAGAAGAATGTGTCTTCCTCTGCTCCTCCGAACCATGGGGTGAGTCTTACTGCATAAGGCTTGGAGTTACACACAGGTTTCTCAGGTTCAAATTCCAAACAGGAGTCCAATGAGCTCAAAGACCCTGAGGACGACCCTGACCCCTCGTACGCGTAAGTCCGAAGGCAATCAAATGGTGGGACGTAAGGATCCTGATCGGCTTCTGCCAGTCTGTCCAGGATAAACTGCCTGAATACCTCGTCCTCCGGCCCAATGAGGTGTGACTCTCGGAGCGACATCCGTATGCTGGCCCTGACTTCCTCCCTCCGCAGTTTCCTGTCCCTCCTCCTCGGATGGGGGCGCAGCGGGACGGGAGGCTGGCAGAAGTCCAGGCCGGCTCCTCTCTCTCCGTAGTAAAGCACCTTCTGGGAAAAGGTGTCGGGCAACTCCAACTCCTTCACCTCCACATCTGTCCCCTCCTGTTGCTTACGCCGGTGCCTCCTCACAATCAGCATTAGAACCGACAGCGCTGCAGACACGACACAGTGCGAGATCATTATAGTTAAACACCGGGGCATGAGCTTAGCGAGAAGAAAAAAAACAAACAAAAAAAAAAAAAATAGACACAACATACGGTGCCTGATGGAGCATGCATGAAAATAATAGCAGCCAGATTTGTTTTCCTGCAACATGTTTTCCTGCAAATATGGAAAAAAAAAAAACATTGGTAATATCTTACTTTTTTTTTAATTTCACTTCAAATATAAAGAATAAATTCTTTTATTCGCTCCATGTGGCACAGAATACTAAAAGCATTTATCTTTTTTTTCCCGTACTGCTTTAACAGCCTCTTGTTCTCTGAGAAGTGTTAGCATAGCGGGTTTTGTCATTAATCTTTCATGTGATGGGCAAAGGGAGGACACAAAGCAGCTAAGGTCATAATAAAGCTCTTCACTATGCACACCCATCAGTGTCCCAGGATGGCATTGGTACTGATGTATTGCAACCAATACACTCATTACCTGGCATCATTGCACTGCACGCTCCAGCATTGTAATCGTGTGTTAAAGGCACGCTGGTGAGTTTAAAAAAAAAACAAAAAAAACGGTGGCTTCAACAATGAAAGCGGAAATTTGTTAATGAAAACCCTGCTGTTTCATATACTTGCCAAATGGTTGTCAGGTGGAAGTGCTTTAGTTCACATCTGCTGGAAAAGAGGAACTTTATGAAAACAACATTTCAGAGAAACACGACTTAATTCATTTATTTTTTTTATGCTAGCAGTTTTATTTTTCTTTTAAAGTGTGCTATGGTTTGTTTACCAATGAGATGCTCCGGAAATGTGTAGTTTAGACTCTTCTATCACTCATCTATGTCACCATGTAACGCATTACCTCACTGCTGGCCCAGCAGCTATTATACACCCTCTGACAAAGAACGAGCTGTCATCTCTTTGCAAAAGGTGCTTCTGCTTAGCAGAAAATGTCTGAGCCTTAGAGCAAAGCAGATGTTCTGGTAATAGCGACAGAACGGAACACGAACTCCTGGAATAGAGGGAGCTCTTCACATAATGGATTATGTGGGGGGGCTTAATCTGCTGCCACCCAATCGTATTAATGTTTGGAACTGTTACCAGCCGACATCAAACAAAACTAATTTTGAAAGTGAAGCGGATTTCAAAAAATGCAGACAACCCGGTTCAAATGTGGGCTGTCTACATTTGAACTGTCACCTTTTGATTGCATGTTTTTTTTTGTTTTTTTTTCTATAAATAAATGCAATCAAATGGTTAAATGCGTCAAAATTATTTTAACTTGTTTCGACCCGAGGCGAGAACAGAATTTTTAAAATGATCTATTAAGATGCATAAAGTGCACACACACACTAAATCTAATATTTTTTTGAAGCATCTTCTCATTTAATTATAGAAATTACTCTTCTTTACTTCACAACCAGCATTAATCATAGTGAGGGTTATTAACCTGATTTCAAGCTCAGGATTTTTATGACATTTGATCTTTTGCATCCTTTAGCTGCAGCTTGCAAAGAGGCAACAAAGGATTTCAATTTGCCAAGATGTCTGTCAGTAGAAGTTTATGAAAAAGTATCCACATCACACATCTGTATCATGGCAGCGAACACAGTTATCATGAATATTAGAAGTAGAAGGAGTATTGGAGAAAAAAAATAACCTATAAATATCAAATATTTCTCAAAATTTGCTGGAACCAAACTTGGTCTTCACCATCAAAACTTAGCAAAACGCAACAGATCGGAAATGTTTTACTCAGTTTTAGATGTCTACATAATATGAAAATTCACTTGCTGTGGTAGGTTGCTGTTTAAATTGTTCCTGTTGTTGTTCCTCAGGTATTTTTTTTTTTCCCCCAGTAAGAAAAACCAGAGAAGCTGCACTGATGTAACAAGAAGGGTAAAAGATACAGATATGAACTTATACAAGTTTAAAACATGCGTCCCTGGAATGCCGGATAACATATAAAAATTCCAGAGAGTTGTTACTGATATTCCCTTCGCAGTATCTGACAAACCTGATGGAGCTCGGCCCCATCGCTCTCTTTCCTGACTACATAGTGACGCAACAGAAGCAGAATACATTGTTCGTCCAAACTTTTGCACAAACTTCTCTGTTGAGCAAACAGACATGATCTGTCTGCCTGCATGTCACCAGGCGGTCCAATGTCACTTCATTATTGTCTGAAATTTGGGTGGGGAAAACCTTTTCATTTTCTTGCGAGCTCTACTACTCACTTACAGGATGTGCAACGAGGTCATGGGTTCATCATCCTTTCCTATTCTCTGAAGTTTTGCTATTGTTGTTAACCGATTATTAAATCGGTTTAATTAAAATGATTAAATAAATCAGGAGTCAGTGGTAGAGCAGGCACACCATATGCAGAGGCTGCAGTTCTCAGCACTGCTGTCCCCAGTTTGATTAGTGGAACCAAATGTACTTGTTGCTGCATGCCCTCTCCTTCCCTCTCCGCCCCTCTTCCTGCCACTGGTACAGCAAAAACCTTTAATAAAAAATAATCACAATCCAATTAAAAAAAAAAAAAAACATCCAGTGGATGGCCAGTATTTGCAGGGATTGGGTTTGTACCTATGCATTTCAGGTCCCCATGCTGCATTTTCCTTAAAGTATTGTAGATATACTCTATGAAAACATATTCTACAGTCAGGCAGATAGAAAGAGCTGAGGGATTTTCCAACATGTACTGGTACTATCCTCCATATGTCTGGAGTGAATACTGAAGCAGCAAAGCATTTATTCCAGAGAAATCCTCTGAGCCTACAATCACCCAAAACCACGTTGGAGGATGTGCTGCGGTCTGATGGAACCAGACTTCCACTTTTGGGGCCACTATTCCAAATGAGTATTTTTGGCTCATCATGCATCACTAAAAGAGCAGCATACCTCCACTAAAGCACAGTGTTGGTACCATCATCCTCTGGAATAGTGCGCCTTCAGGTGAAACTGTAGATTTTCTCAAGGCAGTTTAAATTTTTATTGATACTGAAGCAAAAGCACACTTACATAACAGGGTAATTACTTCTTTTTTCAAGTGATTTATCATTGTTCACCTTTTCATGGCACAAAAAAGCTGAAATTTTATGAGGGAATAAAGGGGCAAGATCACAACCATGTTCGCAGATGGAATGGAGTTAAACATGGTGTCTCAAATAATTGAAATTATTATTATTTTTTTTATTCCTGCCCAGTCTGTCAGTCTGCTCCCAAATGTTTAAACATGGCAACTGATTGCAACAGACTGTTTCTTCATCTGATCCATTATCATCCCCACATCTACATCTTTATTCCCATAGAGTAGAAGCCAATTAATGGTTTTCATTCCTTAAAACGGGTGCAGATAGTTTCACCCGTTTCCATTTTGTGCCTTTTTAGTCATATGGGATCAAAATTTTACAACTATGAGACAGAACCACTAAAACGATAACACTGTGTTAAGGTCACTTGGAGACACAATCTGTCGTTATGGGAGATAATTGATTCTCAAACTATCTGTAGGTCTTTCAGGCTTTTCTATACCATCATATTAATATGTAATGGTTTACTTGAATAAGTATATTAAGATTCAAAAAACACTGCTGACCTTAATAATTCAGCTAGCCACTAATTAAAATTAACCTGGGTAAAAGTGTCAAGGTTTTTTTTTTTTTTTTTTAATTTAAATTCCTATTTCAACATTAAACTTTAACATTTTTCTACAGATTTCCACAGTGGTTGTAGTTTTCTGAAATGCACACATTTTGAGGATGCTGTTTGAACACAAGGAGAGCCGACGAAGAAGCCGTTAAACATTTCAAGGCATGAATGTGTGCTCACACATTTCAATGAATTGTTACTATTTTGATAAACTGATATTTATCTCACTAATAAACCGATTTAAAAAGTTGGAAACGCAAAACAAACGGCAACAAGATTAGGTATGACTAATGACATGTTGACATGGTAACTTTATGGCTACATGACTTCAGGAACAGTAAACTTTCACTTGTTAAAAACAAGTCATCATCGCGTCCATTCACACTTACCAGTCAGAGTGACCAGGCAGACGAAAATCCCCACTAAGGTCTGCATGCTGACCCCGGAGAGAGCGAGAGCCTCGACCCCGGCGGTGGGACAATGTCCAGCCGGGAGGCAGCTGCAGACGCCTATGGTCAGCGTGGTGGTGCTGGAGAGGGCCGGGGTGCCGCTGTCGGTCACCACCACAGGAAGCAGGTACTGAGTCTGGTCTTTACGGGTGAAAGTGCTCCTGCGCGCCACAATGCCTGCCGTGTTATCTGGAACGACGACGAGAGTCAAAGACCGTTTTTAGTGACCACTCTTACATGTGTGGGTCCCTAAAAAAAAAAAAACAAACGGGAGGAAAAGCCTAATATGCCTAAAAATTTGAAGTCAGATTTTTCTTAAAGATCAATGCAAAGATAAAGTCAGTTTTTATTGCGTGTGTTTGATTTAATTTGACCGCTGAACAATAACTGACATAAAATAAGCTGTGTGGCATATAGCAATACTCTTTCCTTTATGTTCATTTTCTTGACTCTTTATTCATCTGCCTGTCGCTGTCTGGTCCTCGCATGGCTAATCACCAATTCCCTGCACCATTGTATGTTTCATCATAGCTTATTTAATACATTTTAAAGTACTTCATGTTCCACTGACATGTCTCTATTCCTACTGTCTCTATTTATTGTAAACCTTTAGAAACAGTCACAGTCCTCTGACTAACAAAGCAAAAATGTTCATTTACATTCTCGAGCACAAAACTAGAAAACTACTCACCTAGAGACACTCAAAGGTTTACGCATGTGAACAATATTAATTATAGAGGGCATTTCTCAATTCCTAATGAATCATCTGGCCTGGTAATTATCAGTCAAAAATACTTTATTATTATTAATAATCATAATATCTTCTGATGATTTAATTAAGTAAAAAGAAAACCAAACAAGCAAAGGTTTTTCTCTGCACAAACCTCTACAACTAGCAGGAGAAGGTTTATAATTAAGAAATTAGACATTCAGAATAGTAGTTTAACTGATAAAAGTGAAATTCTTCACAAAAGTTTTGGGTCTTTCAGAAGTTTCAAGAAAGGGGCAATCAGGCTTTTTTTTTTATTTCCGGCAGTTAGTGTTAAATTGAGGGGGGAAAGGAAAATGAAATAATTCTGTTTCAGAATCCGTACTTGTTAAAATGAGCATATCCACGAGACGGAGAGAAAAATAAAAGTTTTTGAAATTGCTTCACACAAAAACCAAATGAATGTTGCAAAATCGACAAAACAAACAAAAATCTTTATTTTGGTCTCCTTGGTACCAAGCTGATGGAGTAAAACATGTGCTTAGTAGTCTTTCTGTCCAGATTGGTTGATCTGGAGAAAGATCAACCAATCAGAAGTGGATTTTTAACAGCATGCAGTTTATGTCACATTATACATTTAACAAAAAACTATTAGTTTCTTCCAGACATTCTTTTGCAAGAAAAATCTAAATTTATTTGCAGAATTATGCCTTGTTTTCATATCTTTGGCACATCGGTAAATGTACCTTTTAAAATTCAATTTCTGACCTTTTAGGAGGTTTAATAACTGCCGTTTGAAATATTTTTCATTTGAGACGATTCAGAAGCAGCTTCTGACTTTTGTCTCCCACTCTCAACTCAATCTCCTTCCACTGATGACTCACTGACTGAAATCAGTGAGTCATCAGAGACTGAGAAACTCAACAAACTGCCAATGAGAGATGAACAACTGCATCTGCTGCCCAAACTTTTCAAATATGTAATTATTCTATTGAATAATAAGATAAGCTCTCATTTAAAGTCCAACAAATTAATCAATCAATAAGTTACGACCACTAAGTTATGTCTCAATTAATGAAATCCGATAATTCAGATAGGAGGTTCTTTGACAGAGTCGCGGCCCTGCAGTAAAATTCATCCTAACGAAGCTGTTCTCTCGTTTCTAATGGTCTGTTTGCTGGTTGTTGTTGGAAATGTGTGTTTGCAGCCTGAGTTCAAGCAGTTTTGTTCTTCAATTGGTGTGACTGTAGCCCACAGTAACCATTTCAAAATGTGCAATAAATCGACAGTTATTCACCGTCTTTTCAGTACATCCAGTTGGGCATTATGATGTAGTACACATTCAGACAACAGTACTTCTTAAAACCATGAGTTTTGAGGATACAAATCACATTTACATCAAGAAAAATGAAGATGTTCATGGTATGGAAACAGGTTTTCTCGTGTCTAAATGTAAACGGCAGACACGGATGTGTTGAAGGGCCTCAGTTAAGACAGTTAAATGTGCATGAAAGCTCATATCTCGGGTGTTTTGTGCACTGTTAGTGGTTCTTTGGTGTGTTTTCATTGAATGAATTTATGCTCACAAACGTTTTACAGCCACGGTAAGGAAATGCATACAGATTGATCTTTTTTTTTTTTTTTTACTGGCGGGCAGAGGTGTGCGCTGTAGCCTTAAGTCTTCTGCAAGAAATGTCAGGAATGTTCATAATGACATTTCTTCTTCCTGGAAGAATAATTACAGATTTAATTTATGCCAAATGTCCCTGCAAAAAGACCAAGTCGCCCAAGAGCTCATTTGCTCGACTTGATGGAGGATTTATTCAAACTGCCACCAAAGTTTGTTGCCTAGACTGAAGCTAAAACTATAATCAGTTACATTTGAAACTACTCGGCAAAACACAAGGTTCTTTATTCAAATCAGATTCTTTAAATGTACATTTGTTGCATGTCTGCAAACAGCTCAATGGTAGGAGGCTCAGACTGCAAGCAGAGATAAAAAAGAAGAAAAAAACAAAAACTAATTTGGCTCCGTCCAAAGAAGAAAAATGTACCTGCAGCTTTTATGCTCTGTTTCCACACAGCTTAGTACATTGTCCATAAAGATGGAGTACCTCACATCCAGTCTAATGAAATGTTTTTTTTTGTAGGTGGCTGAAAACTTAACAGGAACAAGTTATTGGAAGAAGGCCAGTATTGTTGCTGCTATTTTTCCCTGCAGTTTNAACTAANTTCAGANTTAGACTGAATAAAATGAAACAGCGAGATAAATGAAGGATAACGTGAATAACGTGAAATAAATTAAACTTCCAGGTGTCGCTCCGCCAAACTGTTTTACCAGCATGAGCTAACGAGCAGCTAGCTGGCACGGATGTTAAGTGAGCATTCTTCGGAAATAGAAGCTAAAACGTATTAACTCCCTAAATCTTAATAAAACAACAGCATCCTCATGAAGTCTTGCAACCTGGTGTAGCTGGAGAAACAAAGCAAATAAGGATGAGCCACAAGATCAGTGAGCTGAGCTTGTGGCACTGTATTCGAAAAGACTCGAGGCTGTAATTGATGTCAAAGGTGGATCATTAATTATTAAACAAAGAAATACTGACACAAATGTGATTTCTTGGTTTTCTATTTTTAATAAATTAAAGTCTGCAGAACTTTTTCCTCGCATCATCATAAAGGGGTAATTGTGTGAAGAATTTTGAGGAAATAGATGAAGTTAATACTATTTAGAATAAAGTGAAGCGCCGTGAACACTTTCCAGATACACCGTAGAGCTTTGGACTTTGACAAGACCTTCAGAATTTGCTTTGTGATTTTTTCCCCCCCTTTTAAAACCAGAAATATTCAATACCAAAAAACTCCAGCTTTGAAATGTTGGGCTTATTGAGTATTTTCAAGGACTTGTGTCAGGACCAACATCCTTTAATTTTTGATTAAATCCAATGCTCCGAATCCAATGTGGGAACAATGTTGAATGTTTTGCCAGGCGATCATTCAGTGACTGTCTATTCAGACAAATTCTGTATCTGCAAGACTTCTATAAACACAATCTGGCTGGATGTGTAATGCAGTCTTCATGCAACTGAAGAGCCCTTGGTGAAATAATGTCAAGCAGCTTTCTTAAATAGCAATAAAACACTAATTACTAGCTATTGCATAATAGATTACTTAACTTGAGGACAGCAAATTATCTGGGTTAGTACTACTACAGAATCTATGAACCCATTATACAATTCTAAAAAGTATTATTAGCTGCATTTTCAATTAAATGTAACCTTGATTATCTCTGATGGTGAAGTTCGGATTGATGCGCTCCTGGGGAACCATGGAGTAGTAGAAGTGGTGCTCCTCCACAGCCTTGTCCGGGTCGACGGCACTGAGAAGATGAATGAGCTCAAGAGACACAAACGGAGAGAAGAAAAATAAGCACCGCAATTACTAAAGCACAAACATAATATAATGCGACGCACTGGGTTTTCGGCTACCTATTCATCTCCTTTTTGAAGAAAAAAAAAGAAATTGAATTTGGCTGCTGGTGATTTAATGAGTGCACCTGGTGTACAAATATCAAATGTTCTCATGTCAGTGCCGCAGAAAAGACAACAAATATGTTCAAAGCATTACGCCATATTTAAACACGTTTTGGTTATAACATTGTCGCAAAGTAAAACCCCCAACACGAGAGCATCATAATGGACATACTTCTCCTGCTTGCGTGCCCTCGCAGATATACGGCTGGTAATCCCTCGCAAGCCTTGGCACGTTGTCGTTTACGTCCAGCACGGTGATGAACACCGCCACGGAGGAGGATAAACGGTTTTGCACTGCAGCAGCGAAGACAGACATCCACTGAAGTCCACTGGGTGCATGTATCACAGACGCTTTGTGAAAGCTGTGGCAGAATAACACTTCAGACTGATAAATGTTTGGTGCTCTTAGAACACGACTGCGCTGAGCAGAACCTGAACGTGATAATCAATGGATGCAATTGAATGAACCACAAACTTCACAAAACTGAGTGTTTTGCCCTGCATGTGTAGTCAAAAACGCTGAATATCAGCCGGAGAACATTTAGCTGGTGGGGAAGTAGAAAAAAAGTCGGTTTGAACCTGCAAAATCAGCAACAATCCTGAACATAGAGCCACAGCAAGAATGGATGGTTTAGATCAAGGAATGTTCATGAGTTTGAATATCCCAGTCAAAGTTTGAGCTAAAACTCAATTGACGATCCAAGGTGATATTAGACAATTAAAGAATATTTCTGTTCTTTCTGCAATCTGACTAAGTTTGTGTTATTTTGCAAAGAATAGTCTGTCCAGCTGACTTCAGACAATCAAGTGATCTATGTTTACTTTGCATGGGAGGTTAAAGAACAAAAAACTTTCCAGAGACAACACCATTGTGTGCTCTCTTTAAGGATGAGAAATATCACTGTTAGATTGTGCTTAGCAACCAGTTGTGCAATTTTTCAGAGAGACAATCCAAGCTTTTATTTCATATTTCAGACTTACTTGAAATATGAACTATAATTAATTTCTTAATGGATTGAAATGCGACAAATGGAAAGTTGAGAGGCACGCCAAAACTTTCCAGGTGCATCTTTCATAAACTCACGATTCATTCATGGACTGTTTGCATGTGAAAGAGTTTGCTAACAGTAGCATTATAGCATTAATGTGTTCTCTGTCTGTCTAAATTTCAACTGCAAAATTGTACATTTAAAGAAGAGAAGGTTCAGGCTCAAATCATCCGTCTTTCAAGAAACTTAATGGATGACTTGTTTCCAACTGAAACCAAAACTTGTTCACTGCATTAAGCCGCATAAATATTGAGTGCAATAGGTCTGGAAAGCTCTTCAGAAATATTGTTTGTTGCTTCATACAAACAACAAAACCACATCAATAATTGTTACTTATGACTGATACTACTGCTGTTCATCAAACCATCCAGCCTGGTTGAGTAATCGTTTGATCATCTAACTTCACTGCATGGACTCCACAGGTACATCCACATGTCCCTGTGCCATTTACAGTCACCATCAATCAAGCATTCCAGATGAAAAAACTGCATCTGTGTACAAAACAATAAAGAATTACAGTCCCATCTCAATAATTCAGAATATAATTTTTAACGTATTTCGCCCGACTGGAATATCTCACAGATATTTGCTTCTGTTAATACAGCATGGAGGTGATCAGGCTGAGTCTCTGCTGAAGAAGTCCAGCTTGCTTTAGAAGTGACCTTCAGCTCACCTGCTGGATCTGGGTTTATTCTTCTTCCAGCTGACAGTATTCAATCAAATCTCTGGGGTTTAGGTCTGGCCAGTTTGCTGAATTAAATCAGGATCTCCATAAGGCTTGTCAGCAGAAAGTACTGCAAGAGCTCCTGATAGACAGACACTAACTTTAAAATTGAGGTTATTTAACTTTTGGGGCATAGTTTTTCCTTCCACTCCACTTTCCACATTTTTTTTTCAGTACTCTGCGAAAAACAAGCTTAACTCAATACATGAAGAGCCAGCAGTTTTCTCTTTAACTGATTTAATTGCTTAGGTCATAACATAATTTTGCATTCAATTTTGTTCTATGATTAGTCTGTTTGAAACAAGGAACTGAAGTTTGTTTTTTTCACAATCTGAAGACAATCAGCAAATTAAATCAGCAGAAATCTTATTTGTAAAATGTAATCTATGTCACTGCTTTATTTTTTTTAAAAATTAGAACGTTTCATTTCCATCTTAATTTATTAAGGTTTTACCTGTATACCAGTATTTACATTCACTCCAAAAGTAAAAAAAAAAAAGAGCCATCTAGTTAGTTGTGACTTTCCTAAGCAGCAATAACGCTGGAACACATTGATTAGAGGCGTCAAACGGGAATAAAAATAAATGTGCCACGGCTCTATCAACAAGAAAACGTCCTTACTGGTTTCCTTGGCTTCAACGCTCATGTTGTGCCAGTCTGCAGTTTCTCGATCCAAAGCCTTAGCGATAGCTATGGTTCCATTGTTTGGGTCTATTTTGAAAGCGTTGGTGGCATCGGTCTTTTTGTCGATCGAGTATCTGGAGGAGAGAAATTCACAGAAATGGCACATTTAACACGGAAGGCTGGTTTCTGGGCAAAGAAGACGTCGCAAAACCGCAGGGAAATTAATTAGACAAATTGCTCTTTTTTTTTTATCTTATCAAAACAAGTGCACACACAAGCTAGTGAGAGAAAAGTGACAACAAAGTGGTGCAAGGACACAGCACCTTACTCTGATAACAGATTTGTTTATGCTTCCAGTCAATGTAAATTGATTTTCATTTTTAATTAGCAACCCTTGTTTTTCACGATGATATGTGTAACTGGTGAGTAATTTATAAAACACAGAACAAACATTAAAAAAAAAGCATGGAATTTAACAGCATTTTGGAGGAGAATGGATGACAATTTTTCAGACTTTATTCCTTCATATAATGGTTTTAGTTGTATCCATCTCAAGCATTATGTGTGATAATCCATTGCAAGAGGTTTTTATTTTTGAAATAATCTTGTTCAAATTTTAATTGCAGTGCATCCAAAGTATATGAATGCTCTATGTTACATCTGAGACAGACATATATGAAAAGTCGGTTGCTTTGTCTATATCATAGTTGTCTAAATAATTGTTCACCATCTTCCAGTCATCACTATTGTGAGAGATTTTTTTATTTTATTTTTTTTTTCCTAGAGCATTGTCTTTAAAATCATCATACATTTAATTCTTACCTCACTTTAAGGTGACATCATTTCTGTGCACTAATTCAAAGGAGGTCTGGAGATGGCAAACTTAATCATATTTACTGGAACTCTGGAAACCCCTAAAATGTCAGCCTGAATTTATTAATCAATGAAACACTGTCTCCGCAGGGACAATAATAGACGCTGCGCTGAGCATGATATGCAGCACCTGCCACTCTTAAGCTCTGCTGAGATGGACTACAGGCAGCGCTTGTACGGCTGTCTCCTCTGCAACGTGCCCCACTTGCAAATGACGGCAAATCTCAATTCCATATGCCACCTCGTACGGTGCTTTATTACATTTTGCACGTTCTCTGCGACGTCGCTTTGCGATAATACCGCCGCAATAGATAGAAAAGCCCGTGAGGTGCGAGAGAAAAAAGAAGAAATGTCATGATTTATTCAGGAGGGCTCATTTCCCACTAAAGTATTATGAGATAAATATGACCATGTTGTGGGTATCCAGAGATCAAGGAGGTAGAAATGGATGCAGCAAGCCAGTAAGGCTTTTTGAAATGGAATGATTTTTCACCCTGTGGAGGAAGCTGTCTCCAGGTGTTTCGGCATTGGGCGTCTAACCCGTCATTATCATGCCAGTTGTTGGATGCTGGATGGCAGATGCCCCCCCCGAGCCCCCAACCCCGTTCCTGCTCACACTACCTGATGGGATTCTTGACTGTGTCAGTGTCTCTGGCGCTAACGGTGCCAACCACTGTTCCCACTGCTGCATTCTCGGGAATCTTCCACTCGTAGAGCGCCGAGAGGAAGACAGGCGGCTCGTCGACATCCTCCACAAGAATCTTCAGCGTCGTCCTGTCGCTGAACTCATCCAGAGGCAAAAACCGAGTGTCTGGGTGGTTGTTAGCTGCCTCTGCCACCATCGTGTAGCGTCTCTTGGATTCATAGTCCAAAGGCTGTGAAACAATGAAAAAATAAAATAAAATAATAATAATCTAACATTTCACAACAACAATACAGCTCTTTATTTCTGATCAACTTTTCAATCAGGTTTCCCTGAGACTTATGCTTCAGACAATTACTCCACTGGAAGTAAAACCTGTTTAATGATGTTCAGCAATTGCCAATGAGCTCCAAGCTTTGAGAACGCTCTTAAATAATGCTATGGTTTTGAAAAAAAACATTAAGATGCGACTAATAGGAAAACAGCGGGCGAAACATTACCACGCGCTCAAAATGATTCCTAAACAAAGTCAATATTTATTTTCCATTTTATGGCATTTAAGTAGAAATCTCCTGCCTGTCGTGAAAAGCAAAAAAATTACTTACAGTGTTTGTGCTGGAAAACAATTCTGACTCATTCTATGTTAATTGGAAAAAATATATATTTTATATCCAACCATATATGTGTAGTTACAGGATGACCAGACAAGGCGAGTCGCGTAGAAATAGTTGTACAGCTTACAGTGTTTTAGGACATAATATCCTTCTGTCTTTCACTAGCAACGTTACAAACGTGCACAAATCTTTGTCTAGATTCAGCTAATGTAAAACCCCCCACAATTTTACCATTTTGATTTCTCCATTAATTAATCAAATTAATTGAAATCATACAAGAACAAGCTTGTCTCTGCTATAAGTCATTCAAAATCATGGCAAGCAGCTATGTATGCAACCTTTTGGGGAAATCATAGTTGGCAATTTTACAGAAAAACTATGGATTTAACATGTTCTAATAACACACAACTTTTTATGAACTGCGCGATGCTGTGAGAGCTCTGGTGGAGGCAGCTGCACACTGTCCAGAAAACAAAACAACAAAGACAAACCACCGTTCTCCGACTACTACTTCCTGTTGTCTTCTTTGGCATTTTCGCCAGTAGTAGCATTTGGCTGTTGATCACCTGACTGGTATGATGTGAAAAAGTATTTTCATTGCAGTTTTGCAAAAGACATCTATTTCAATATGGCTGAAAAACCATAGCCAATTATCAATCCACCAAGATGGATTGATAATTTACTAGTACATGGGGGCATTTAGTTTTTCACATTAGGCCAGGTTGGTTTAGGTCGCTTTTTACCCTTATTTAATAAAGTTATCATTTTTTACTCCATCTTTTTTGTGATTTGAGCCTATTTGCCAGCATGACCTCTTTATTTTAAGCTTCCCTGGAGGGAAACATCGCAAAACACATGAAGTCAGTCTGCGAATTGTGTTTTCTACCTCCAAACAAAGTCACAGAGTCACTGCAGGAAAATATATGAGCAGTAATAGCCTGGTGTTTTCAAAGCTGGACTTAGCAGGAACATTTACCAGACACAGTAAAGATGGATGGCGAGAGCAGTGAAAAGAATTATAGTGAAAGAAGAAAGTGTGCACACTCTTAAACTCCTTTATATTACTGAACTTTTACGAACACCTGCGTTTCAAAGACAAAAAATTCAGTAGTAAAAGCCAAGGTTTTCTTCTGCACCACTCTGTGACGACCATTTGTAAATTTCAGCAGAATGCGAGTTGTAAAGTGCAAGAGGAAAAATCTGGATGGTAAGTTTGCCTGAACTGAACCTTCACTAGATGGTATTATACTGTGCAACAATATAACAGCAAAATAATAAAGACTGGACTGTTATATAGTAATAACTGTGAAAAGAAGACTGCTTTTTTGGATCATGCATGCAGATATATTTTCCACACTATTGTGACTTTATGTGGAAACAAAAATATTAGGGTTTCATATGCAAGTCATGTAAGTATTTGAGTTACTGCTAGTCAGGCTTAAAGCTGCAGTAAAGCTTGTTAAAACTATCATCATGTTGTGAGACATGAGACAAATGGAGGGAGAGACTCGGATTGTTTTTCAGGTCTGAAATTACGTTTCAGCCCTGAAAAACACAAAACTCTGTACTGTTTTCAAGAAGTAATTGAAGCAGAAATTTGCAGTGAAGTAAACTAGAAGGATGTCTAATTTCTGAAACGCTGATCATATCCTTGAATCCACTGCAGAATAAATGTGCTTACAGCTGATGAAAGCTCCTAATTCTGTGATGCTGAAAAGTTTCAAATATATGAAGAAAATAACTCTAAACTTTTCAACCAGAAAAAAAAAAAAAAAAAAAAAAAAAAAAAAAAAACACTTAAAAGTACCCCCGGAACAGATTTTTTTTTCTTTTTATCCAAAAAAAAAAATTTATTTACT